TCGTATAACTTCGTATAATGTATGATTAGGTCCAGTTGTGAATATTTATGAGAACCAAATTCAAGCATGCCTTACGGTACCTCTGATGTTGGTAAGACTGTGAGTATGGCATGACAGTCGACTGGCAAGTAATTGATCTTGCTGAGCAAACAGCGTGCATCAAACTCCACTACTGGGGCACAGTTGACTAGTTCAAACTCCTGTCTTGAATTTTAACAAAGGATATCCCCACTTTGAAACGGTTGCGCAATTACTTGGGCGCGACATCCTACGTAATTTGGAACTCTTCCCGAGCACATTTCAGTCAAAGTACCTCGTTGTAGTTTGGTTATTTCTTAGTGGTGGAGTGGAAACTGACATTAATGTCACTCTGTTGCTTTAGGAAATGCCACTGCAGTTCCAATTATCTCTAGGCTTGGACTGACTGTAGGCGTACTCATATGGAACACAACGAACTGCTTAACAGGATGGGCTGGTGGGAGGTGAGACCACTCCGCGATCTCATCACAGGTTATCGTTTGAAATTATACTCAGGTTCGGCCTGTTTGGTATGAAAGCTAATCTACCTGCTAGCCAAATCCTGAACTACGGCGGATTGGTTTGTGTGATCATAGGGTAGGTTTCATAAACGGCCTTAATCTTCTCTTTCAGATTTTTATAACACTTCGCGCACCGTTTTTATAGTGGAAAGCCGCGCGTGCATTGCACTCCTTTTGAAATTTTTCAGAATTTTCTTAAACGCTGTCTTATAGAAGCTGATCCAAATTGTTTTCATGACTAATCGTTTTGTGACTATTGTAGAATTACCGGATCCATAAGTGATGGCGCTGGTGTTCAAATTCTCTTAAGCAACAGTTATCGATTAGTTCTACTTCATTTGCTAATAGTTTAGCTAGGCAGGAAGTTATTCTTGCAATCTGCTCTAATAATAGAATATTCTCACTAGTCTTCCACTGCGGCCTGCGAACATTCGCTTGTACGAGGCAGGTTCCCGCAGCGAAGGACATGGCCAATTTTTTTGTGCTTCCACATGGCTGTAGAGAAGAAGCTACTAGGGTTGCCAAGTATAATCCTGAGAAATTACGCGCCAAGCTGCGCTGAACCCCAACACATTCAATTCATCGTTCGCCTCCTATTTCAGTAATCAGGCGCACTTGCTGGCAGGTAACTGCAAGAGGCCTCCTCGTGACGAAGGTGCAAGTGGGGAATCTCAGTTGAATTGTGTAAGTAAGGTGAAAAGAAAACAGCGCTGAACAGAGGTTTTTTCTGTATTGCCGATCATTTCCTATGAAGGGAATTCACTATGGATTAGTCATGGAAAAGAGAGAAAAGAACGAAAAAAGCTACATTTCTGAGTAGCCATGGTTTAGCATATCCAGTGAAAGTTTTTGCGTCTATCGCACTTCAAATCGGGACACACTTGTTAGAAGTCCACAAAACATTAGAAAAAGCAGGAGTTATCTCCACCTTTTCCTGAACACAATGGTTCCTTTAACTGATGAAACCTTTGAAGAAATTGCAACAACATTGGACATTCCTGCAGAACTCTGGACGAGACCACGACCAAATTTGCGCAAAGCTCTAGAACAATTGAGCTGTCCAGAGGTGATCACATTTGGGAAGTGAACACTGATTCTCCCTACTTAAATCCACTATATTACTCCGTACGGAGAGTGATGAAGAACGCACCTGCTTCCGACATCAGGGAAGCATCGCTGGATTCGAGAAACTGCTTTGGAATGCCGGCGACGCACTCCGTTTATCTGAACATTGCATTTTTCGGCTTCCCCCTTTTTCAAAGCAGAGTAAAATGGTTTTATTGACCCTCATTGAGTAGATGCTTGTTTTCCTTGCCATTTATTGGTTGTGAAGCTCCACTTAATCTTGTTACTGTAATTTTTGGGAGATCGTATGAAAATACAATTCCTCCAATTGGCAGCGTAATCACCAAAATCATTATTGATCATCCCTCACTGAAATTTTCAATTCTCTCAGCCACGACGCAATTCTGAATATATTATAAAAGCATGGCATAACTTCTTTAGAGGTATCCTGTTCTCTAGAATCAAGAGTGAGACTAGTACAAGCAAAAAGGATGAGACTCAGTGTAGAAAAGGATGTGAGTTTCTTAGTGTTTTATAGTAAATGAGAAAAGAAGGTGTTTCATCAATTCTAGGAAGCTCTTACTCTACTCCACAATTGAACCACTACAAGGGTGCCGACTCATGACCAAAACGTTTTTTTTCGAATGGAGTGGGAACCCAAATCCACATCTAAATGGCCATCAACTCGTTGTGGGTCAACGTATCGTGGAACGTCATCCACAAATGGGAACTCACCGATTTCCCGACATCTTTGGCATGGATGTAGCGACAAGTTATTACAAAAATGCAAAATTATAATATATGTGCTGCCCCATTATATATTCCAGAGTTGGAGATACATTTCCTCCAAATAGGTCCAAAGTCCAAATAGAAATTGGTCAATAGGGTGCTATACTAAAGCCCATAGTTTTTTGTCTAGCTTTTCTGGAGGAGAGCTTATCGCTCCAGCTGCAAGCTGAAAACATTGCACAATATTCCATTCCAAAATTCAGAAAAGCGACAGTGGCACAGATACAGAACGTCTGACTCATGAAGAGACGACATCAACAGAGGAGTCCGAAAGGGAAAGAAAATATAGCGAAAGGAATGGTGGTGCTAAGGACAAGGACACCGACACTGACGGGAAGCAGCGGATCATGTTTGTTTCTTGATATTTACACACAGAAGTCGCTGGTTCCAGTGACTTGACGAGTGCAGGATGTATGCAAACCTCAAGCTGATCTTTAGTGCTATTCCAAGAGATTTCTTCCATTATGAGTATCACCGGCAAGACTAATTCTTCTATAGAGGAAAATTCCACAATAAGAAGCGAAGGTCAAAGAAGGGGAAAGTTACCTAATAGAGAAACAGAATGACCCCTAAGGATGGAATCAACACGCAATTGTCATGTAAAAATGTTTCCTTGGGTCTAGCATGGCTTTCCCGCAGCCCTATTGGCCTGAAGCGCCCACCGACTTCCTAATCACTCACCGCAAGTCTGTACACGGCGTATGCTCAGATAGTAGGGAGAGCACTGATGCATTTTCGTTTGATACATTCCATTACATTACATTTACTACACTGATGCATTTTCGTACACGGGCAAGCTTTGTGTCAGAAGTCTGTTCCACCAAATACTCAGATTTGAATCCTTTCAAAACGCCACTTTTGAATCCTGGATGAAACCTATGAAAGAAAAATGCGTGCCGCACGCGTTGCGATTGCCAAACGGCTAGCTAGTCCTGTGCGAATGATCATTTCAGACTTATTCATACGCTTTTGTCATTTTTCTACAAAAGATTCGAAATTAGAAGGTTAGAAATGATTTCCGAAAGTTATTCTCGAAATGCCGACGAAATATTAACAGATTTTGCGCCACACTGCACATAAATACAGACATAACTACATACAAACCGACACACCAAGTCAGCGGTATATATAAAAAGCAATGTCTTTTCAGTGGTATTGCCATGGCTCTCGCTGCCGGTGTTTTTTATGGGATGACATTTGTACCTGTTATCGTCATGATGGAGAATCCGGACAAATTCCCAAATTATCCAGATGACGGACTTGCGTACGTGTTCTCTCATTACGTCGGCATTTTCGTCACTGCGTCAGTGATTTTCGTCGGCTATGCTGCAATTAAGTAAGTGTGCCTTTGTTCGCGTTGGATCATAGAATGTTGTTTCATTGATGACATCATTCACATACATAATACACAAATGGCTACCTTCACGCGTTGGGCCAGAAGGTAGCGCCTTGGCTAAGGGAAAACACACTGTTGCAAAAAGCAAACATTTAATCGCGGATACGCTGCTTTGATCTTGGAAAACACAAAGGTCATCTGGAACACTATCCTCACAAGTCATTAATAGTTTCAAGTAGGCGTTTAGTTGTCCCACAAGAGTAGAATGCAGAAAACAATGAGGTGATTAATTATGCTGGTACCTTTCCGAGTGTCGCTGGCTGTTACGTCTCGATGTCAGCAAGATTCGTACATGCAATGGACGACAGTGCGGCATTAGAACGACCCTCCTGCGATCAACTTTTCGCTGAAAAAGACCCCAGACCCGCTCTGGATATTGAACACTAACTTGCACGCCGCCTCTCCAGTTCAGCTGTTTTGACTATCTCCGCTCGTTGCAAACCTTCTCTGGAAACACTTTAACACGTTGACGACATTGTGCAGCGCATGCGCATCACACCTTGAGCACCGTGTGGGACCGTGTGCAGCGCATGCGCTGCACACACAAAATATTTATTTTTTTCGCGCATGCGCTACTTCTTTTCTATTTTTTTGCATCTATTCCATAGACTACACCATAATATAAGTAGACACGGCGAGGTTCATTGAATGGTTGAATATGCTCCTTTTTTAGCGAAGTGTTCTCCAAGTCCTACGAATTTCTCAGTTGTGTTTATCTAGTTCCTTTATCGATCAATCGGGTCCATTGAAAAGAAGCAGTAGAACGTTATCAGTGGCCAGACCCACACAGTATAGAAAGACTAGATGTTATTATTGATAGCTAGCAGAACCACTGTCAAAATATTCTGAGGTCACTGCGCAAAAGCAAATTGAAACTTGCCTTCCATCGCCAGAAAACGTCAATTCGACCGATTTTTTACAGTTGTCCCTTCTGATAAGTTTGACACATCGAATATCGTTCTCAACATCTTGTTGCATCCGAGTTTTGGGTATTGTGAAGCTCAAAATTCACGGATTTGATGTGAGGCGGCGGCGCCTGCAAAATCGCCGTGGTCCCACGCGGTGCAAAAACCCAAAACGCGCGTTGTCGTCAACGTGTTAACTTCGACAGGACAGCTATCACTCGTTTACTTACCTGTTGCTTCACGCTTATCGTATAACTTCGTATAATGTATAGTGACTGAGGCTTCTCATTTGATTGTGCAATAAATATTTTCTGATCAATCAGACAAGTATATGAGAAACAGTTCACGCGTGGCTAATCATTTGTAGAAATATGATTGAAGGACGTGTGCTCTAACCTGTGATTTCCACGAACCATATACGCGGTACCGGCCCCGGCCTAGCTCTATATTTAAAGCATCAATCTTGTTCAATTTAACTTACGGAAGACATCGTTTTAGCGCGGCAGGTTCGGCTCTTTACAAATCACATTTTTACACAAAACAAGGATTAGGGACGTTCCATTACATTACTTTCCTGGAGCCACACACGCTGACCAGTGCAGTGAAGTTGACGTTGAAAGGTTTGCACTGATACCTCTCGAGGGTAACCTTCTGATAAGTGGCGAATCGTTCTCAGGAAAAGATAAGAGTTTGCACTTAGCTGCCAATTGGATCTCAAAACGGGCATTTCTGTCTCAATGTCTCAAAAGTTGATGCAGTTTGATACATACACATGTGTCCGCCAGTAATTGTTATGTGTATATACTAGAGGGTTATCTCATTGGTTACTCTGATCAGCCTTCTAGTCATCGGGGGCCCGGCCGCTCCGTAACGACTATCACTGCCGCCGGGGAGTTTGCGTTGTGTTATATGTAGAATGGATCTTAAATTTGTTTATGTATTCTTTGACTATACATTGAGCCACATGGCCTTTCTTTTGCTGCTGAAGGTGGTGGGGGAATCTGTCGTTGAATTCTGTGGGTTGATTGCTTTAGGGCCGAGGCCGCCGTATCATCCGATCCTATCTATTCTTGCTTCTCTTTCTCGCAGGGCTACTATGGGGGATTGCCCAAGCGTCGTTTTTCATTGCCAATCAACATCTCTCACAAGCCGTTACGTTCCCCATAATCACGATGCTCCCTGGATGTGTAGTATCCGCCTGGAGCATACTCTACTTTCATGAAATCAAAGTGAGTGCCTTCACAATGGTTTTACACATTTTTTTCTCTCGTTACGAGTTATGCATAGGAGATACAGGGTAAGAAAAAATCACGGGAACAAGATAAATACTTACTTACTTTGATACTTTGATAGTCCTTCAGCTGGCGATCTTCTCAGCGGGGACCACAGCTCTTCCATGCTTCCCGGTTTCTGGCAACTTGCATCCAGTGTAGACCGCGTTGTCTGAAATACTTTGAAAAACGAGTCGGCCCACCGGGTTTGCGGTCGTCCTAGCGGTCTTGTTTTGTTTCTTGGGAGCCATTCAGTGACTCGGAGGCTCCATCTGTCATCGTCTCGGCGAAGTAAATGACCAGCCCAACGATGCTTCGATTGTGCCATGTACTGCAGGGATCTTTCAGGTGTGATCTCTCTCAATTCTGAACTTCGTAGGCTCTGTCTCCATTGCTGATGTCGACTAACTTTCAGGAAACATCTTTCTAGCCCACGATGTATTGTTTGCATGGCTTTGGCTATCGTCTTATTCTCAGGCCATGTTTCAGTGGCATAACACATTGCTGGTAACACTGAAGCATTAAATATAGAGGCTCTGAGGTCGGGATCTTTCATTTGGTCCGTTACTTCTCGAATCGTTCCAAAGGCTGCCCATGCAGCGCGCCTCCTTCGGTTTATTTCAGGAGTAATATTGTTCGTCATGTTCAGTTCTCTTCCCAGGTACACGTAGCTTTCTACTCTCTCTAGAGCTTTTCCCGCCAGTTTTACTGTACCTGTATCACACCACTGATTTACCATCATTTGCGTTTTTGACAAGATAAATAGACTACCAAAAACCATGTGGTCGACCTGACTCCAATTACCACAATATGCTCCCTGGACTGGCTGCTTTTTGCATTGATACATGAACGAAGTTTTTTTAATGTCTTATCCTTCCAATTTTGTAAGTGGATGCTGTCAAGTGAGCTAGAGGCTTTTTACAGCTCTCTAAAGGGGAATTTACGCTGAAAAGACAATCCCATTATAAAATAAATTAAGGATGGTGAGTGTACAAGAAAGAAGGAAAAACCATGAGAAACGGCCCAGAACCCGAGAAATGGGACCCCTTCCTTGCCCGTTGATTTCCGCATTGATGCGACTCTCATCGTGCCCTCTTCAACGCTAACGCTCTCTCTGCTATGTCGGTGGGCGTACCGCGCCAACTGCGCCAAGAGTGAGCCATGCTAGATCGCCGAGGTCAAATCTTTCGCTGCCAATTGCGCGTCGGTCCGCACCCTCAGGAGGTCCGCCTGTCTCCCAACTAGGCAATTTTCCCTTCTTGACCTTCGTTCTTATCGTGGAATCTTCTTTACCTAACCTATGTTTGAAATATGCTTTGAGCAGAGGTTTTTGTTCAACACACAATGCAAAGCAGTTCATAGGATGTCAATTGGGAGAACTGTATTTCCACTTCTTTCCTATGATAAATTCCGTGATCTTCTATTGGAAATCTGTTTCGAGCAATCTTCGCTTTCTGGCTGGGCGCTAATTCTTGCTCTGATGGCTTGCGTTTTCTGTTGAAGTCCCCTTGACGGAGGCATCAACTTAGTCTGGATGAATTTGAAGTGATTCTCACTGTTCGCTTTTTAAATCCCAGCGGTCCAAGGTGTCTTTGTCTCGTGCTTACTTATTTCTGCGCAAACTCCCACTGAATGCCTAAATCTGGCTTGTCAATAGCATTGGATCAGTTATACACCTCAGCGATACTAGCCCGACAACAGAATTATCTACTCCAGTGGAAACATGCGGCAAATGAAGCCGAACCGAATTAACGACTTTCACTTTCACTTGTCTTTGTTTGAATTTGCTCACATTGGTGTTAGACAATTTCATGCATGTAGCTCTTCCTCTTGAAGAGGGTGGCAACAATAGGTGGTAAGAAAATGCGCTTTATAACAGTTCCGGCGATCAGGCGACGGACTGACCGAGCTGGATCCGAGCGCTCTTTCGCATGTATCTTCGATATATTGCTCCTGGAATCACGAAAACATCACTTCTACGCCCAGATCTATTGGTGCTAGCAGATAGCCTTCTGCACTTCGCAATGGTCATTAGCAAGTTTCGTGTAGAACCTGAATGTTTTGCAATGTAACGCAATCAAGCAGCTCGTCGGAGCAAAAGAGCGACTGCTTTTCGAGGGTTCAAAGGATTCGATACCGGGATCGGAACATTTCATGTGACGAACTGAGACAATAAACTCTGTGTTACCAAATTAATTAATAATAATATTACTCGAATAGACATATGGATATGTATATATAAACTCCTGCGTTTATAAATAAAAATTGCGAACACCACCCTCTTGCTACCGTGATTTTTGCTCATCCTGCACGTTCTCTTTTCTTTGCTTCCTTCTGAGGAGGAATACCATTTTTCTTTTAAAGGGTTTATATGTTGAGCCGCTATTGCAGGGTAGCCGAAATTTCCGAATTCTTGCCATTGCAATGCTGGTGACGCTGTCTGGAGTCGTGATGGTTGGCATGTCGAAATTTATTTATCTGTGATACGTCCAATATATTACTTCTTAATTATCACATTTTCTTCATTAATAGCAAAACTAACTCAACCGTTCTTCTCAAAATTTTTGCAATTATTAGTGCTCTTGCCTTACCTATTAGGCAGTTAATTTCTTCACTTTGATCGTGTACGGGCTAAATATGAAAATAGTATTATCAAATAGTTTCTGTCCATACACTCATGAATGTCTTTCTTTTCAAGTAAATAAGGCTTGGGTTGTGGTTTAGCTTGAGCTTTCGTAGACGCTTTCAGTTCTTTCAGTGGATACTTGTACTGACTCATTGCAACTTACTTTTTCTTTGCGAAATTGTGAGTGTTTTATTAATGTCGTTCGAAGTAAACATTTAGTTTGCGACATGTTAATTGTTAGCCTTCTCCTCAGTTCGCCAAGAAAAGCCCAAGGCAGAATGCGTGCATTTCACTCAGCGATAGAACTCACATGGAAAGGGAACTTGCAAGGAAGCCTACCTTTCCTCGTCGTTCGAATACATACAGGGTGTCCCAAAATTATGGGCGCTCACTCACTGCATTGTTATCTAAGCTTCTAGACGGAGAACGAGAATGAAATAAGTATGTAATTTTACTTGCATTATACACAGCAATAAGCAAGAGTCAAATTTCAAAATGCCCTCCACTGGCGCGAACACAAGCTCGAAGTCTCTTCTTGAACTCGTCGCACGTTGCACGCAGGTACCCTTCATCCAATTCTTCCCAGGCTTTCTCCAGTGCTGCTTTCAGTGATTCCAAACTGCGATGACGAACACGACAGGCCTTGCTTTCAATCATGGCACTGAGAAGTCGAGTGGGTTGAGGTCTGGGGAACAGGATGGCCATTCTTCGGCGGTAATGAAGTCGGGCAGCTCCCGGAGGCACCACTCTTGGACGAGCTTTGCTCTGTGGGCTGGAGCACTGCCTTGTTGGAAACACCACGTATTGCTGCGAAAGTGGGAATCGGCTTTGGAGCGTTCATCAGTGTGTCCTTTAGGTATAATTCCCTGTTGATTTTCACGCCGGGATCGACAAAAACCAACGGTGTCTTGCCACTGGCTGTGATCCCTCCCAAACCATTACTGAGGCCGGGTTCGCTGTCCTTTCAAGAAGCTTCCGCGTGAAATAGCGCTCTCGAGATTCTGGCCAGGATGTGATCGTTCTGGCGGTTCAGAATGGGCTCTACCGTGAAAATTTTTTCGTCGGAAAAGAGGATGGAGCGGTGCGTGCTCCCAGTGAAGCGAGCCAGCAACCTTTTGCATTTTTCAATCATCTGCTTCTCATTGGTATCAGAAAGGAAGTGTCACATTTGCACTCGGTAGGAACGGCAATGCAGCTTTTCTTTTACAATCCGCTCCTTCGATGACTTCGAAATGTCCAGCTCACTTGCCATTCTTCCTATGGAGCGCCGTGGATTACGATCAACTCGAGAACGGACTGCTCTAATAATCCTAATCGTAGAAACACTAACCTTTCTTGATGTTGTTGTTCTGCCGTACAGGTTGTTACGATGGAACTATTTATTCGGTCGACGTTTCGAACAATTCGTCGTCTTCAGGACCTGAAGTCGGTTGGAAGTTTTAGCTTGTAACTTACCCGGTCAAGCCCCACGATACTTCTCAAGAGCTACAAATAGAGGAGAATGCCAAACAAGGAAACCAACCTCTGTAGTTCCACCAGCGCCACGTGGTCCCCGTTTCTTTAAGCAGTTGCGGAAAAATGAGACACACATGACACAAATGACGGTGAAGACGTCATACGTGCGGAATGCGAATATCTCATAATCCACATAAAGGCAGGAATTCATTCGTGATTGCAATGCACTCATTTCGGTTATTTAACCTTGGATTTCGCACACAGATGTAGAACGCCTCTAACATCATTCAAGCCCAAATGTCATCCTCGCGGG